ATGAGTGAATTTATCTCTTCTTTTTTCCCTGCATTTATTGCAAGTTGCACCACTGGGCAGATCTAGAAAGCTTTTAGCCGTAGCTTTTCTAACCCAAAGGGGGTGCAGAGAGAAAGGTTTGCCCGTATCCTGATGAGACTACGGAAGTATGAGTAACACACCAAATAAGTGAAAGCATCTGTACTGCGATGGTGTGCAAAATATGTGGGTTGGAAGCTTGTAGCAACTTTCTCAAGGATAAGCCATGGTTTAGAGGTGCATCTAACTAGTTCAGCTTTGGATGAGGATTGCTTGCTGCTTACTGTTTCATCCAGTCCTACAGCTGCGTGTGAATTCTGCAATAGATATCGTTAAGTATGGAATATTAGCATCTGGGAAATCTTTAAGCAACTGTGAAATATAACCTCACTAAATACATTTGCCTCTTGCTCTCTCTATTAAACCTTCTACTTTATGGGTTGTGCTTTCTGAGTCGGTTGTAGTTTTTGGGTTTGTCTGGTCCCGAGGGCCAAGAAAACGTTTCCCACAGAAAAGGAAGAACGCGTTCTGTAAAATACAGTATGTGTGTTTGTGTGTGTATGGTGTTTAAATAATATATAAATCAGGTTGGACAAGAGCTGCCTATCAGTTTTATTAACTTTGACCTTTTCTCCCATTATAAAGATGGCTCAGTAAATATTTAATGGGCTCTTATAGATCTTGACAGTAGAATCTCTGTTCCTGGAAGCAGAAGACGTGGGGGCCTGTACACGTTTAACAAACATTGTTTAATCAAAAGGGGTTGGCCATCCAAAACAGAAGGTGCCTTTGGTTTTCAAATAGAAATAGCAGATCCCTCTGCAATCTGAAAATCCTTCCAAATTAGACATTCTGTTAGGATGACTCAAGGTGTAGTTCATCCCATGACTTGGGCAGGTGGATATGTTATTGCCCTTTCAATTGTGCAGCCCACCTAAAATTGAGTAGTCTTTCCAGTATCAGCATGTTGACCCCCAAGGTCTTAGTAGTTGGGCCTCCACTAGTGCTTAATGAAGAGAAAGAAACATGGCTTGAATTGGGCAGGAGTAGAGAAAGTCAGCAGTGTTTTTAATTCCCTGAAAGAGAGACACATATTGGTTCTTAATGCAAATTCTAGCAGTGAAGATGGAAAACAGGAGCCCTTGACATCTTGAAGCATCGTCTTTCAAACTTCTACTGTCCCCTGCATTCATTGATTTCCCATTTAAGGCATCTGCGTGAGAAAAACAGATTTGCACAAAATTCTTCAGCCTCAGACAAGCGTGTTAGGGTGAAGTGATACCCCCTCCCCTTCCCTGGTAGAGAATAACTCCACTTTTATTAAGAATACGATACGTCTTTGGATGGCCCTCTGGATCGCGTGATATATTGGCCGCGTAAATGAGAAAGGTGTTAAAGAAGCAGCCCGTGTTTTTCTATGAGCCCTGCCAATTCACTCTTGTCTCTTCATCCATTTTTACAGCAGTCTCAAAAAACAAGATTTAGGGTTTTTGTCTCCATTTTTATTCTGCAGATTTTGGTATTAGTAGAATGCAATTAACTGGAATTCCCAGTATGATCTTGATCTGTTCCTTTAGGTCTTTTTCTCAATCTGAAACATAGAAATCATTCACACAAAATGCTGCTAAATAATTAGGTATTTTCTTGATATGTAGAGATATACATGTCTGTATGTGGTACAGTCATGCACTAGTGATTCAAACTTTAGACTAAGGATACAGAGGGTGAGTCACCAATCTTTTCCATAATATTGATGTCTAGACCAGATCAAGGAGCTAACACAACTTTATTTTACTTTTCTACTGCCATATCAGTGCAGTTCACAAAACAATCCACAACGTCCATAATTGTTCAAAAACACTTTACAAAACAATCCATTAAAAACAATCCATTAAAAAAATCCATGGTAAATTTAAATAAATTAAAACAACCAATCATTTAAGTTCCAGTAATGCAAGGATGAGTTATAATAATGAGGATAAAGAAAAGTAAATAAATCAGAACCTAAGAAAACGAAATGAAATAATATCAATAATCAATGTAAGTCATTCAGTGTGAAATAAAGGTGGTGAGATCATATGATTCAGTTAAGTGCTTTTTGGAAAAGTTCTGTCAGTCCCTCTAGGTAGACCAGACCAGGAAATCAACTTCACAGGAAGGCTAAAACTACTTTTATTGAGATTGGCTACTATAACAGCATCTTGAAGTCTCTTGTGCTGGACCTCCTCCCCCTTCTTATACTCCTGTGAATTAGGCAGGTGTCTGAGCCACTTCCAAATGTTATCTGGAAGTTCTGGATTTAGACCATGTTTTATCCGTTTTGCCTTGGCAATGGGGCTTGCATATCTCCATCAAGGTCATCTTCCTTACTCTCTAAATGGTGTCTTCAGTACCTTCTGGAACCTTAGAAGAGCTGGAGCAACCTTATTTCTATCGGGAGGTTATTGAAAAATATTTGCAAAAAAACCCTTGCAAAACATTGTCACACAACTGCTTAGGCAAAACGAGCATAGAAGTGGATCTCTCAACCTCCAAGATCTTCTCATTCCCAAGATGTGATCAATGGTGGCCTGATTGTAAGGACTGCTTTGATTAGAAGGTTGATCTGCTGGACACTGAATACAGTTCTCTCCCTTCCTCCCTTTCCCACCATGACTTTTTACTTAAACAGTGAAAAGGGTTGGTGGCTGTGGTATGGTCATTCTTTGTAGTCGGTTGGCCCCCCAGAGAAAGCAATCATACCAAAGAAGACCTCCTTCATCTCTAGCCCACATCTGTGAAAATCATCCTGCAAAGCACAAATTCCTTTCCTGGAGGGCAACAGTTAAAAGGAGTTGGCCAAGATGATTGTAAGGTTAAACTAAGGCAATCACTTTTGAGAAAAAAGTGGAAGTTGTTTCAACAAATTGGGCCCATTCTTGGAGGTGTTCCCTATCAAAATGCATGAAGGTTTTGGAATCTTCATTTTGCAATTTCTCTACAGATATGTTTGCATGTTCTTAATCAACATTGTTTTAAAGTTGGTTACCTTTTTGCAGAATAAGTATTTTTATTGGTGCCATCATCCATAGCTGTGAGATAAAGTTTGACTATCTGTCTTCAGCCCCATACATCTGTAATTAATGTATAGAGTTCAACCGTAGCCCAGTTTTAGAGTGCAGATAACTGGCCCGTAACATTTTGTGGTCACATATTTGCTTTATAATGTTGGATTTTTCAACAGCTCTCAATCATTGATACTTTTTTCTAAAAATGGTGTACTAGGTTCCAAGTATCAACAAATTAAGTGTACTTTAATGGACGCTCCATCAAGCGTCCATTCAGTAGGGCTTCTCTGATAGGTCTCTCGCTATTTTGTTCGTTGTTGTCTTCCTGCACCCGTTTTTTGTCGGCTTCTATGACTTCATCAGGATTATTTTGTGCTTATTCTCACTTAATCCCAAACAGGCTTGGGTTCATGCCACCGTCTGAACTGTAGAACATGGTTTTCAAGCCACAGTAGTCTATTCACACAATACACTAAGCTAAACCTGAAGAAACTACATTACCGCCAACCCTGTTGTATGAATCGGACCTTTCTTCAACTTGGTTGTCAAATTCACATTAAGAGCACTGGATTTCCATTTATTGCTTCCAGTCATCACCAGTAAGCTTCCTTCCACGTTCTCCCGTCTCGCCATTCCCTTAAGCAACCTTTTCTGAAAAAATGTATGCCTGTGACTAATAATGATCCATTACTTTAATGGAATAGTTGTTTCCTTTCTCTGTTCTTTGCTCCAAATTGTAATTGCAAATGTGCAATCTGCACGTTATCTTAATTGAGCTTCTGATTATGTGGTACATAGAGTTAAGAAACTTGACCAGTTAATTTATCATTTTTGGACTGGTCAAATGGGCAAGTTTCAAGTCCCTTAAAAGATGATGCACTTTCTGTGGATTACGTGCTGACCCGCAGAATTGTAATTGCTTGATTTTCTTAAAATTGGAATGAAGACATCTTTGGGGCATTCCTTTCGGCTGAACCTTTGGCAAGAAGCAGTGGATAAAGTCAGTAACTTTCTCCAAGGCACCTAAATTATTGTACTGTCTGAGAATCTATGGGATGTTTATAGCAGCCAAAAGAAAATGAATTTCCACAGATTAGTTTGTTCCTTAGCTTATGGAGAATGTGGCCATTGTTCCAAAAATCAGACTCGCTTTTTGCTAAGACAACCTTTGCTGTGATTCAAGCCAAGGTGGGACCAAAGAGATAGAAGAGGATGTTCTTGATATATTAAACCAGGATTGCTCATAAACAAATCAACATCTGTAAAAGTAGACTGAAAGGAAAAGAGGGGAAACTAGCATGAAAAAACCCTCTCCTGGTGATACCATCATTTAATTGTTTGCTTATAAAATTTATGTGTTGTGTTTTTCAGTGTTATATCACCGCCCCTTCACTGTAGGCTTTGGGGCAGGTATTGGATTTTCCCTTTTTTTTTTTTTAATTGTGGTCTCTGATTGCAAAGAAATTCTGTGCCCCAGACCCAGTGAAGTTCATTGTCTCAAAATAAAAGGACTGTCTTTCACAAGTAAAATTGCAAGCCATCTCGTGATAAATATAACTCCAGAGAACATTTGGATGTCTCTTGGTGAAACAGTAAGTTGTCATCGTCTCAGTCACTTGCTGATGTTGGAGGCCTAATCACGCTTGTTGTGAAAGTGCCGTAATCTCCAGATAAAGCGTGGGAAGGTTTGCCAGAAAGACCACAAAATACCATATGGCAAATTATGGTCTGTTTCTTCCCAAGACCATGCTTTATAAGGGAAGTGCTTTGGGTGGTATAAAACTGCGCTTTTGTGGAAGGAAGCCTTGGGTTCTGGCTAAAATCTTCTCCATCCTGCGCATCTGGCTTAGGAAGCGTTGGAATGAAATCAAAAGAGGCGCTTTGGGGTTGTTGGTTTTTGAACATCTGTCATTCTTATTTCTCCTACTTTTCTAGTTGCAGTACCACACCAGCCTGGCATCTGGTCTTCTGAATCAGCAGTCTTTGAAGAGGTCTGCCAATCAAATGGGCGTATCTGCCAAGCGAAGGCCCAAGGCTCAGCCCACCACCCTGGTGTTGCCACCTCAGTAAGTGTCAAAAGTGTGCATGTGGGAGAGGTACAGTAGATGAATGAAATCTGGTTTAGCAGAGGGAATCCTGTTCTTGATAGGTCAATCCCCCCCTTTCCCATCTCAAGTGTTGGATCAGGACTGAGCCTCACTCTAGAATGAGAAGTCCAATTGAGAAAAGTCAACGGGGATTGGAAACGTAAGCCCTGGAGGACAGAGAGAAGGAGTGATGTATGTTTAGCTTTGAGAAGAGAAGATTGTTGGGGCTGGGGGACAAATATGAGAGTTCAGTTCAGATCCCTAAAATACACGTCATGGAAGAAAGTCACAATCTTCATTGTCCCAATGTTTAAGAAAGGATGAATACGTACAATATATTACGCAGCATGGAAAATACACACATATACCGTTTGGCTCCTAAATGTTTATAAATACTACAAATTAGTAGCAGCACAAAAAGGGGGAAGCTAGAAACCAACTTGCCTTCCCCCCCCCATTTTCTTTTCCTTTTTTTAAGTTGTTTTGCTCTTTTCTCTTTTTCTCAACACATACAAATAATAACAATACAGTGGAGACCTTAGTATTAAGTATTCAGCTTAAGGCAAAAACCCTTATTGGATGACAAATATTTTAATGTAATTTGCAGTTGTTTACTAATGCTATATTTAGCTTTGGATGTAAAATTTAAATAATCTTGTGCTTATGAACATCGACATTTCAGATCATAATTAACACTAATATAAACCTTTTCTTTTTTCTGTTTTTAAAGGTCTAAGTTATCTGAACATTAGAATGTTAATGATCTCTAGTTAATACTGTATAAATACCGTTGTATTGAAATAATATAGGGTATTATGTCTTTTAATAATTTAGTAAAACAAATGAAAGAAAGAAAGAATGGTCCTAAGTTATCAGAAAGTGGGTGCCGGTTGAATAAGGGAGGGGGGGAACTTTCTAACTATAACCACAGTTCAACAGTGGAATCAACCACCGAGGAAGGGACCTCCCCTTAGCTGGATGTGAGAATGACCTTGGGAGACAGGAGGAGGAAACATAGCCTAGGCCAGTGTTTCTTCACCTTGGCCACTTGAAGATGTGTGGACTTCAAATGAGGTGTCATGGTGCATGTGTATGGAGTTTCTTTAACATGATTTGTTGAATTCAGCCAATACACTAAGCCAGGAATTAGAATTTACAATTTTTGGATTCTGAAAACATCCGAAGCCAGAATGAAACTTCTTTTTAGCTTAGGGAATATGGGAATCGGGTCAACCTGTTGGGGTCTCAATGAAGACAACACTAGCTAGATGTCCGTAGTATTAACCGAGGGGCTTGCTGTATCATCTGCCCAGCTAAAGCCTTGCAAAGAATGGAGACGCCCCCTGGAAAAGTTGCGATGGGAAGGGATGAGTGAGGACATTCGAGAAGACAATTTGTGTTTGTTTTCACACTTCCCCTTAACCGCCATCATTTTCAGGCTGAGGAATTGCCATGGGGGGGGGGATTTTTCAGCAGTCTTCCCCACTTGACAAAGTAGGCTCCGTGACTAGCTAACTTTGTTAGCCGTTTCTCTCTGTCTCTCCAATTTGCTCATTATTCTCCATCAGGCTGACAAGAAAAATGGAACGGTGGCTGAAATTAAATAATTGCTTAAAACTCGGGATGAGCTGCTCGTCCCCCCAGACTTCTCTTTTGCGAGGAAATAGGTTTTGTGTGGTTCACAATCCTCCCGTCGGTAGGTGATTTAGCAAGGAGACTTCAGCGCTTTGGGGGAAGAGAGGCCGGGAGAAGATGGAAGATAGGACGTTCTGCTATACGGCTTTTCAGTTTCTAGCCTCTTTTCAGAGCATTGTGGAATGTCCATGACTAGACCTTGAAATTTAACAGCCCGCCCAAGCAGATGTAGTCACAGTTTTGAAAGGAAGCCAGCATCTGGGGGAGGGGGGGGGGGGTAGGTCATC